TGGGGAATTCTGGGAGTTAAAGTCCGGACATCTTCAAGTTGCCAAGGTTGAGAAACACTGACCTAGGATAATATACAAGAACCATCTGGGGGTTTTTATGATGAAAAAAGCTGCTGGGGGGTCTTATCAATATTCTGATTTCTGGGGTCCCATTTGTTACAGAGAAGCTGCCAAAGGGGCAGGGCTTAATGTCCTCCGACTAATTCACGAACCATCGGCTGCTCTGCTCGCTTACGGAATCGGACAAGATTCCCCCAGTGGAAAAAGGTGATTGAGAGTTTCTCAACTACGGGGATTGTGGCAATTTTTACACTGGTGTCTTAAAAAGAATAACCTCTCTGTATGTTGTGGCCTGCCGAAGGTCAACAGATTCGGACAGGGAGGAGGGTTGGGGAGGAACCTGGGCCAGTCCTGGAGTCTGGGGAAGAGGGGGGCTCTGTGTTGGAGGCAGAGAGGGGGCCACGGACGTCTGGCAATTATCAGCTGCCTTTGGGGTTGGATATTGTGGCATGCGCAGAGTTGCCAGACGAAGGGAGCTGCTAAAGAACAGGGGTCGACTGTAAAAGGATCAAAACCAACTTAACACTCTGCTTAGCAACATAAATTGTCACAAGTCGAGGGCTGTCTGTATGCTGTTAAGACTTTGAGATTAAAAAGTGATTTTTTAAAATTTTATGTTTCTCGCAAACGGAAGCAACGTGCTGGTGTTCAAACTCGGAGGCACTTCGCTTTCCGTCACGGTCATAGAAGTCAACAGCGGCCTCTATCGCGTGCTCTCCACCACCACCGATGACAGCATAGGCGGGACCTGTTTTACGGAAGCCTTAGCGCAACACTTGGCTTCGGAATTTCGCAGGTAAACGCTAGGAAATCTAGAGCAAAGCTTGGTGTAGCAGTTACTGGCTGGGGAATTCTGGGAGTTGAAGTCCAGACATCTTCAAGTGGCCAAGGTTGAGAAACACTGGTTTATACGGAACATTAGGGAACGATTGGAACCAAAATAACATTTCGTTTTTAATTTTATTTAATTTTATTTGTTCTGCATTTTTAGACTGCCCACCTCCCTCAAACATCCAGGCCAGCTTAACTATATTTTGTTGTGATTAACAACTGAATTATTATTATTATTATTTTTAAAAAACCCCAGATGTTATAGAAACGACGTGAGCGGAAATCCCAGGGCTATGATGAAGTTAATGAACAGTGCAGAAGTGGCAAAACACTCATTGTCGACCCTGGGAACTGCGAATTGTTTTGTCGACTCTCTCTACGATGGGATGGATTTTGACTGTAATGTTTCCAGGTAAGCTTTCATATTTCCAAGCCTCTTTTCTTTATTTCCATCGAGGGAGCTCCTGTGAAACATTCAAAGCAGGCCCTTTCAATCGTCTCCTGTACCTTTTGAGCTGAAAAGAGCGATTTCAAATTTGGGCACTTGGTGAATTGTCAGGAAAGGCTATATTGAACTCAGAACGTGTCTCTGAAGTCCAAAACTCTTCAAATATTTAAAACAGTTTACATGGTCCTATTTTTTCAACCGTAGGTCCTGAAGAAAATGGGCACATGATAACTTATATCCCCTGCAGATGGTTGATGTTATTTATGGCATTTCTAAACTGCTGATTTTAGGGACGCAATGGCTCAGTGGCTAAGACGCTGAGCTTGTCGATCAGTTGGGCGGTTCGAATCCCTAGCGCCGCGTAACGGAGTGAGCTCCCGTTGCTTCTCCCAGCTTCTGCCAACCTAGCAGTTGGAAAGCACGTAAAAAATGCAAGTAGAAAAATAGGGACCACCTTTGATGGGAAGGGAACAGCGTTCCGTGCGCCTTTGGCGTTGAGTCATGCCGGCCACATGAACATGGAGATGTCTTCGGACAGGGCTGGCTCTTCGGCTTTGAAACGGAGATGAGCACCGCCCCCTAGAGTTGGGAACGACTAGGACATATGTGCAAGGGGAAGCTTTACCTTTAGGCTGCTGAACCTGGAAAGAAAACTCAGCAGTTTAGATAAAATAAAGAGTCCCAAGCAAGAGGTTGATTTTGGAGCAGTTTCTTTATTGTTCTCCCACAGACAGAATCTTGCCAGACTTAAGACAAATATCTGCCCAACTATAGATACACTCTGTGAATTGCTAGAGAGGCGCCATCTCCTCCCTCTTCCTGCCCACCAGACATTCCAGACTTTGCTGCCTCTTTCTTCCCCTCTGGGAAGGAGCTCCCTTCCTCGTGGGAATCCAGACGGCATTCCACCACAGCACGAAAAGAAGGTCGACAAACTAATAATTTGTTTTTATTTCTTATTATACAACAGGGCCAGATTTGAACTGATTTGTTCTGCCCTTTTTGTGAAGTGCATTGAAGCAATCAAAAAATTGTTGGAACAAGTGGGGCTCGGCATGGATGATATTAGCAAGGTAAAGTTGTCCTTTTATTTGTCCCCCCCCCCCCAATCTCATTTGATTTCTAGGTCTTGGAAGAGTTTAGGAAAGGAGGGACGGAATGAAAGTATGAATGACGACAAATAAAATATATTTTTAAACATTATTTTGAATTATTGAATTGTCCTGGGACGAATTATCCCGTGGTGCCCCATTCTGGTTTGCCATTGCTTGCTTCCTAGGGTTGAAAGAGCGTGACTGGCCCACGGCCCCCACTAGCTGGCCTTGTGCCGAAGGCAGGACTACGACTCCCAGCTTCCTAGTCTCTAGCCTGGTGCCTTCATCACCAAACAGGATCTCAACTCGTTGTCTTAACCAGTGTTTCTCAACCTTGGCAACTTGAAGATGTCTGGACTTCAACTCCCAGAATTCC